AAGCATGGCTGTTCTAATTGCTTGGATGGCAGCTTAGCATTGTTAAAAATGTATTTTGCTTGAACTGCCTGGAAAGTCATTTTGTAGAAGGTGGAGTCAAAATGTTTCAGGTCAAATAACATTAGGTTTAAGAACGGTTGTTCTGCTGCTGCAATAGATGCACATCATTGAGAGAGGTGGAAACGCTTTGAGGCCTTGAGGATTGTGATGGGGCCAGTGAAATATTTTTTTTTCCTCATTGGTGTCAAAATCTGCATCGCCTATGCATCTGGATGAATGCTCCATGCTTGTTACCAGTGGGTTCCCATGGACAGGGATGGTGGGTGTTGCAGAGTCAGCCAAAACATCTGAACTCACCAGGCTGGGGGAACCTGCAGCAAACCACAGTTTAGTGTGACAAGAAAAAGCAGGAAGGAGTCAGAGTAAAGCTGGACTGAAGTGCTTCCTGCTTGCCCCCTCTTTGACCAGATCTGAAACCTCTGCTAAATCTTAACCATGATTAGTTTTAAAAACCTAGCTTCAGAAGCTGGAGTTTCAAGCTGGCTTTGACATCACCCCTCTTTAACACCAACCACAGTTTGCCAGTCAGGATGACACAACCAACCATGGCTAAGTGAAAGCAGATGTTTCTGAGAGACTTCAGATCAGTGTCGGACGTTTTGGGAGATGATGCAAAGGCCTGCGACTCATTTCTGCTTGTTTGCATTGTGTTCGGTTCAGGGATGGGGAAATTCTGGCCCACACGAGGCTCACTCTCCAGCCTGTGGTGTCTGCTGGTATTTCGTGGACTCTTTGGGCAAGCACCTCCTGATGAGCCAAGAGAGGAGAGTACGAACAGGCTTATCCTGCAGCATGTCCCAATTTGTTTGCAGTCTCTGAAAGTCCCCGAAGCTGCCTTGAAAATCCACAGGACTAGTTGATTTATTTAGGATTCTTGATATCCATCCTTCCACTCTCAAGACCAAGATTACATTGTTTTTAAAAGGAGACAAAAATATTCAACAAGAATTATAACAGCCACGAAAGCTGAGACAACCTGCCGCAGATAAAATGGATGGGGAAAAGGCTTCCTGGAATAGCCCTGCCCTTTTCCCCCAACCCTGGGAGGTTTGAAGGTTTCCTGGCTTCTGTGAAGTTTTTTCACCATTCTAAAAAGTTGACATTTCGTCTCCAAAACTTCATTCCTGCCAGGAAGGATGCTGGGCAAAAATTTGCTATTTTGGCTTTGTCCCTTCTGGTTTTGACCCTGCTGTTTTTCTGCTTTTACCTTTGGCATCAGCTATTCACTGGAATCCCCTTCCCCCTGGTATTTGGGTCTCCTGTATGAACAAGATGAAATATCCTTGGCTTAAGAGATGGAAACTCTGTTAAAAGAAAGACGGAGGAAATCTTGTACTCCGTGCAGAATTCTACACTGCCGTGGCACAGCTGCAGAATACCCATGCTGGATTATATCAAACCCTGCAATAAGGGAGAAATACAGTTCAGACCTGAGTAACCGTGGCCGTTTTTTGGCAGTTCATCCAGAAAACAAGTCTCTCGGCCTCCCAGGGTTTCCTCTCTGCCACGGCTGGTAGATCGCTTCGCTATAGAAGCACTGAGCTTTGGGGTACCCTGCTGCTTCAGGAACAAGAGGGAAAGAGGAAGCCAGCAGAAAACTGTACATTGCTGCCAACACTCCAGCATTCTTGCTCCGTATTTAAAACCAAAAACCGTTTCACCCACATGATGCTTTCAGGCGGAATATTGAGTCCGACTCTGGTCATTGCCCCTCGAGGAGTTGGAGAAGGTGTCAGAAACAGCAACTCAAGCGACTGAGGGGCTGGAGCCAGTCCCCTATAAGGGAACTTTGCAACAGGTTTATGTAGAAAAACAGCAAGCCTGGGAGGCTCTTTTTTATGTATGGATGTGGAAAGGGAGCAGTGAAGAAAAGTGACAGGAAAAATGTGGAGCAAGAAAGCTTTGCAGATATTCTGGACCGACAGAAAGTTGGCCAAGCAGAACGTGCCCTGGAAGCAAAAAACGAGGAAACTGTCATATCTCAGGGACATTTGGATGCTTCTTGCTATTGACTTTCATAATTACCCTCTTTATCACAAAGCCAGGCCTGGTTGGCCAGCTTTAAAAAAAATCTAAGATGAGTTGGAAGCATCTCTTCTTGATCTGCTAGGAAGGGGGAAAGAAGGAGGCTGAGGCTGCCATAGGCCAGTAGTTTAATCCGACTGAAACAGAGCCTTTTCCGTGTGTGTGTGTGCGTGTGTATTTGTGCGTGCATGACACTTTCAAGCAGTGGGCATGGCTGAAAGTAGGTCTGGCCGGAACTCAAGGTGAGTGTGCCAGGGTCCAAAGTGGATCAGGCCAGAGATGTGACTCCTTTGGAGCTGACTTGTCCCTCTGCACCCCATCAGCTGTGCCAGTTCTGGGCAATGCAGGGGAGCAGGATGGGATAAATCACACGGATAAGCTAGAGCAAGGTCAGAGGGGGGCCTGGCCTGGCTGGGAAGGCTTTGGAGATCTCTTTTTTGTTTTATTTACAAGCATTTATATCCCGTCCTTCCGCCAAGCGCTCAGGGTGGCTTTCCCCGAGGCCCTGTGCTCGTACTCCCGGGTTTCATCAGCTGACCACCTCTTGCATCCAGTCTCGCCAGGGCTGTGCTCCAAGCCCTCTTCAGCCCAAGGGCCAAATTCTGTTCCGCTTTCTGCCAGTAAGAACCTAGGAGAGGTATTTCAGCCTTTTAAAATGGGGGCGAGAAACTAGTGGAAAAGCTGGGAAACCAGCGGACAGGTAAAGGCTGGTAGAAGCCTGGCAGGGCCAGGAGATGGAGTCACGGTCGTCCCTGGAGCCCTGGACCTGAGATTCAACACCTCTGCTATCAGGGTTTGGGCCACCCTGCCTGTGTGGGCTGTTTTCCACTCAGCTAAGCCGAACTGCAGTTCTTCCTGAAATGCAGCTTCCTATATACCTTCACTCTCTCTCCATGCTATAACAAGGCAATTTCTTTTCTTTTCTTTTTCTTTTTTGAGATGGCAATTTTAAAAGCCGCTTTCCATAGCGGGAATGGAGGATGTGGTCTTGCGCATTCATGCGCTCGGAAGCGCCCAACCCCAGTGGGCTGGGTCTTAGGGGAACATTTGAGAATTCAGATTAGACCAGGCTGTTAATTAGACTCTGTTGTGCCGAGATGGACTTACCGGCGCCGGTAATCTCTGTGGATGGAGAGTGTGTGGAGTGGGGAGGGAAAAAGCTTTCTGTTAAGCTTGAATGCAGATGCGTGCCCACTCTGAACTCCTCTTGCTAGGCCTAAGAAGCACTTCAGTCCAAACTTTTTCAGGCTGTGACACCTGTCTGTGCTTAGTGGAGAGAAGATTTCTTCACACCTTCTCCCAGATGCGCCAGATGGGCCATGCCTCAGTCCAGCCTGACTGGGATTTAGTCACTTAGATAAAGAGATGTGGCCAGCTGTCACCGTTCTGGCGAGAGGACCAGTGGGACAGGAGAGGCACATGTACCGTTTCGAAGGGTCTTGAGGTCAGAGGAGGAAAGAGACGGGTTTTGCAAGAGCTTGTCTGCAGAGCCCGTTTGCATGTCTGGTGGATTTGAGGCATTCTGAATGCTTTCCGGAACCAGAGTCCGGATGCTTCCTTTTCCATTGGAGTACGTTGCATCTTGTAGTACATTGTTCGCTGCCATCCCATGATTTCCATGCTGGAGGACAGTTGCAGAGTAGGCTAAGTAATCGGGCATTTTTCCCAAATGCACCTGGAGACTCTGTTGCTGCAAAAAAAAATCCAGATCTTGCAGGGCGTGACAATCATGAATCAATCCCGTTTTTTTAGTTGCAGAAAAAATATAGCTGACTTGCTTATGTTTGGTTTAAGAGTTCCATTTCCTAGTTGTAACCTGCTTCCTCTAAGCAGCTGAATATATTATTATTATTATTATTATTATTATTATTATTATTATTACTATTACTATTACTATTACTATTACTATTATTATTATTATTACACCACCACCCCATTGGCCCATAGGGCTGCCTGGGCAGTGTACAATATAAAACAGAATAAAAACATTCATATTAACATATTGAACATTTTTCTACAAAGCTAGCATTTAAGATACATTTCCACATAAATCTTACTAAAATACATTAAAGCATACAAGTATCATAAGCAGGGCCTTCTCTGTGGTGGCACCCAGGTTATGGAATGCGCTCCCTGGAGAGGTGCGCCTGTCACCGAGTCTATATTCTTTTCAGCGCCAGGTTAAAACCTTTTTATTTAATGACTATTTTAAAAATTAATTTTATCGTTAACAGTCACTTTTTGTTTTTTGTTTTTATATAATTTTATTGTACTTGTTACTGTTTTATTTTAATTCTACATTGTAAGCCGTCCCAAGATGCCAAGACATGTGGTGGCGGCTTATAAAAGTTTTAAATGAATAAATAAAATAAATCATAAATGGCTTAAAATATAAAGATGGACCAATACAGACATTGCATTAAATACATATCGAGCTGCTACACCTTCTGCCCCATAGGACCCTCGTATGAGGGAACAGGGACTTTAACCCTTGTCTCCGCACTGTGTGTCTTGTTCAGGCACCCCACCTGGCAGCAATTTTTATTTTAATCTGATAATTTTAATTTTATATTTGTAAATCAATGTATTTTTTGTATTTTTGTATTTAATGGTAATTTATTATGTACTATTGTATTTCAATGTATTTTATCATGTTGTAAGCCGCCCCGAGGTTTCGGCAAAGGGCGGCATAGAAATGTTATAATAATAATAATAATAATAATAATAATAATAATAATAATAATAAATGGGGAGGGGTGGGGAAGGGTAGCTGTAAGTCACGTCTACTTTGGCTCTGCCCTGCGGGTTTCCCAGAGTAATCAGGGGAAGTTCCTTGAATCCACACACCCTCGAATGCTTGGGTTGCGTACCATGGCAGGCCCCGGTCTGTGGCTAACTCGTTTTTGTTCCACCAGGGGGCTGGCTGCACTGCTCTGGTGGTGGCTGTCGTGGCACGAAAATTGGAGCTCACCAAAGCCGAGAAACATGTGCACAACTTCATGATGGACACACAGCTCACCAAGCGGGTAAGCAGCCTCGCCGGGGTGTCCCTAGGGGGGGCCAGGGGCAGAGCAACCGGCTGGATCCCCAGCAGCTTTGCTTAAAGGGGCCAACCCGCAGAGGACGAGGAAGTCCCTCCCCTGCATGATCTCCTGGAGACACACTGCAAGTCAGTCTTGACCTTAAGACCTGACCTGGAATATTGTGTCTAGTTCTGGACACCCAACATATAAGAAAAATGCAGGTAAATTAGAAAGGATCCAGCGGAAGGCAACAAAAATGATCCAGGGTTTGGAGACACTGCCCTGTGAGGAGAGACTGAGGGAACTGGGCATGTTCAGCCTTGAGAAGAGAAGACTGAGGGGGGACATGAGATCCCTCTAGAAGTCCCTGAAAGGCTGTCACAAAGGGGAAGGTCAAGATCTCTCCTTGCTAATGCCAGAGTGTAGGACATGGAATAATCAGTTCAAGTTGCAGCAGCCCAGATTCAGGCTGGACATCAGGAAGAGCTTCCTCACTGCCAGAGCAACATGACAGTGGGACCAGCTGCCTGGAGAGGTGGGGGGCTCTCCCACACTGGAGACATTCAAGGAGAAACTGGGCAGCCATCTGAGTGGGGTGGTGTGAATTGGTGTCCTGCAGCAGCAGGGGGTTGGACTCGATGGCCTTCATGGCCCCTTCCAACTCTACTATTCTATGATTCTGTGTAAGGAACTGAATGGATCGGTGGTTTGACGTAATATAAGGCAACTTTCTGTGTTCCTGTGTAAATCAGCCCTTTATGCAGATTCATGAGGACTGCGGTCTTGCTTGATTTTTAAGGGAAGAACTGTAGCTCCATCATGGTGGGCTGCTTGTTTGGCATGCAGATATACCAGGTGGAATCTCGCACATTTCAAGGAAGTGCTAGAAAATTCCTCCCTGGAGCGCCATCAGTGTTGACCATACTGGGCTAAATGGACCGAGGGGCCGTATGTTCTCCGCCACCTTAAATTCTGCAAAACTCTCCCACATCCAGCACAGTCTCAAGGCACCTTTCCCAATCCATAAACTCCACAAAACTGCCATCATGGAAAAACAACTGAATGAGCATTTTACTGGCCGAAGGCAGCGAATACAATCAATACTCATTAACTGCGAGGCATCTCATGAAACGAAGACCATGCGGCCTGAAATGGATTTGAGCCAGATGGGCACCTGCGGGAGGGGGGAAAGGGTTCCTGTGTGGGGAAGCAGAGAAAACGGATTTGTCATGCTGTCTGAACCCAGCCATTCCTTAACTCTTAGCCTGACCTACCTCACAGGGTTGTTGCGAGGAGGAAACGAAGAGGCTGCTCTCAGGAATGAACGATGGGATGCAAACAGGATAGCAAAATTCACCACAAAACAAAGCATGCATCCTTCCAGAGGGTTTGGCCTTCCCTCCCCATTGGCTATGCTAGGTAGGACCAGTGGGAGGTGAAACTTTTGGGGGGGCCACCAATTGCCTGTCCCATCTTAGCCCAATATTTCTGGACAGCCCAACAGGTCTGCCAAAGATAGCCAAGATTCCAGCTGATTTCTTTCCTTGTGCGTCCAGCTTGAGATGAATTTGGTGGCTTCCGAGTGAGAAGCTGCATCAGCCTAGCAGTTCCGTCATCCCACGTGGTTCCCACTCCTCACCGCCTCCCTACGCCCAGCCAGATTCATTATTCGAATCGCTTCCTCCCAGGCCTCTCCCCGTAATTTTCCTCACCTGGTGGTAAGGGCAGCCCTTGACCCTGTCTCCAATTTTTAAAAAGCAAGGCGAAGAAGAGAAGGATAGTTTCTAGGGCAGAGTTCCTTCCCGGAGGCCATGGGAAGGGGCGAATGGGACTGGCTGCGAGAGAGTCCTAGACCCTCTTTGAGGAGGGGAAACCCCAAATGATTGATAAAGCCACACCTGAGGCAGAAATGCCTGTCTTGAGCGGGTGTGTGTTGTGTCCATCACAGCAGGATCAGAGCAAATTAACTTTCCGGGAGCGGTTTATTCCAAGGCCTTGTTTATGACAAGTTTCCCAGCTCTCACTGTTTGTGCAAAGGTTGTGGAGGAGCTTCTTCTGCATGTCAAACCAAGGTGTGTGCGGTGGGGGATGAGCGATTCGGCAGGGCAACATCAGTGTGTTAATAGATTGTTCCAAGTTCCTGCCACCTACACCCCCTTTCTTGGCCAGCACATGTATCTATGCGCTGTCTCTTCAGATGGCTTTTTTTTTTGCATTCTCTTGCTTCACGATTGTGCCAGTTCCCAAAACAGGAGGGTAGGATCTTTATTGTTGTTATTTTTTTAATCATTTAACAGCAGCAGAAAAACCTCACAACAAAACAACAGGGCACTATTAGGAACTGGTTTGAAGAAGGATATGGTGGCTGCTGAAGGAAATTTGACTCTAAAAAGAAAAGAAACAAAAAGGAATGAATGAAAAATGAGATCAGCCTGTTTGCAAGTCCTGAAAAGATCGGCCAGATGGTCAGAACTGTATACCTTTTGTGGTTCTTTTTATTCATTCTGCTGCTGACAGAAAGACTGTGTGGTTCAGCAGTTGGGACAACCTTCCCTCAGCCAGGTTCCCTCCAGCTCTGTGGGATTACAGCTCCCATGAGCCCCAGCCAGTATTGCCAACAGTTAGGAAAGCTGGGAATCCTTGTCTTGAACATCTACAAGGCACCAGCTTGGAAAAGGCTATTAGAAATGCTCTTTCCTGATCGTGTGGCATCTGGAAACCAAATTCAGTGAAGAATGGTTAAAAGAGCTGGGTATATTTTAGCCAGGAAAAGAGAAGTTTCGTACCTAAAAGGCAGAAACTGGAGGGCTTTGCAGCTCTGGAGAAAATGATGGGACTAATTTATCTTGTTTAGGATTTATATTATATTATTGTAAGCCATCCAGAGATGACAGTGATGGACGGCCTATAAATGTCCTAAGTAAATAATAAAATAATATCACTGGGAGAAAATGGCTGGGAAGCAGATTTGGCAACACTTTTGGATGTTGGTGTTGCCATCTTTCATTCCTTGGGATCATTTGGCTGCACCTTTTTTTTTTTTTTTTTTTGTGTCTACTGATATTACAATGCCTCTTTGATGCGGGATTGTCTAATTTATTTGATTGTCGGCACTGCAATGCAACTGATGCTTTTCGTAAACATTTGTTTTGGCAATGCTCGGCTGTTGCTTCTCTGGGGCGAGAAGGTTATCACACAGGTCCACTCTGCACTGGGACAGTCTTTAATATTCATTGATGTTCACGCTCTTTCAAGATTTACCTACTTCATGGAAATTAGCAAATGGAAGGGAAAATGGATCCTGTGCATTCACTTGGCTGCTAATGGATGCCCTGCACCCTTTTGATCTTAACAGTATTGGAAGGATAAACACTAAACTCTTATAACGTGGTGGATGGAAGGACTTTACGATGCTTTTAGTCTATGAACAGGTGGCTGTAGAGGCCAACTTGAAATGGATTGTTTTCTGGGGTTCACTTTGGTTGAAGCTTATGGATCAGGGTTAGATTCCAACAATAAAATGAAAAACAATAAAACTGTTGGATGCCTGCAGGCACTGCTTTGGAGGGTGCCCTCTATAGACACCATGCCAGGGGCCCCCGAACTTGACCATCTCTGTGTGCCCCCCGACTCTGCTTCTGTGGCAAATAGGCCTGCTTTTGGAATGTGTGCAGTGTGGCTTCTAGGCACGGGCCGAGTGCTTTGTGATTAGAGCTTCCTGCAGGGCTGACTCTCTGCTTCGCCCCCGCAGATCAAGAACGCCGCAGCCAATGTCTTACGGGAGACCTGGCTCATCTATAAACACACCAAGTTGCTAAAGAAGATCGATCATGCCAAAGTCCGGAAACACCAGAGGAAATTCCTTCAAGCCATTCACCAGTAAGTGCGGCTCTTCTTTTCCGCTTTCCTCCTCCTCTTTCTCCTTTTTTAATCTCCGGCAGAAGGACGGTGGGGGCGGTGGCGGTGGCGGGAAAGGTTTGTGGCTGGGACAGCGGGAGCAAGGGGTGCCGTGCAGAAGGGCTGGTCTTCTTCTCTGGGGGAGGGAACCATCCAGTCACAGCCAAGGATGGGAGGCAGCGGATTTGCCCCTCCTGTGCAGAGGCCATTGGCAAGCACAGCCAGAACAGTAATTCATACAGAGCTGCAGCAGGCAGCCTCCTCTGAAGATGATGCTCCGCCTCTTTCAGCTCCAGGGCCAAACGCAGAGATGCTCTGTAGGCCACTTAGCCGGCAGGCGCTTGTGCGGTGGCAGGTGTAGGGTGAGTGGAGATGGGGGCTGAACATTTGAGTTTTCCCCTGCATTCCATTGGTAGCACTGGCTGTCTCGGTCTCTGTCCAACGTGCCAGGTTTCTAGCCCTCCTTGGGATCCAGTGACAGAGTGGAAAGAGGAGTGCTCAGACTAGGATCACTGGGGAGAGGGGGGGAGGGAGGGGGCATATCTTTTGATGCCGGCATGCCAAAGGCCTCCATCAGTCGCTCTCCCCCCTTTTCCAGGTTAAGGGGCGTGAAGATGGAGCAGCGGAAACTGAGTGACCAAGCCAACACCCTGGTCGATCTTTCTAAGGTAACTCTTCTCCTTCCCCCGGGTCCCTCCGAAGGCTCACGCGGGGCGAGGCGGTGGAGCAGGTTACTCTGGACTCCGGGGCGCGTGTGTGTTCACGCGTGCGGTTGCGTCCAGGATGGAGCAGCATCTTGCGCGCCCTGCCGTCCCAGGCAGAAGGACGGAACCCTTTTGCAAATTGCCTTTGCTGGGAGGGGTGCTGCTGAGACCAGATAGGGCTCCTGCTCTGGGGTGCGCCTGCTGTCGCACAGACAACTTGGAAGGCCGGTGGTCCTCGGCTCGGCCCACAGCATCTCCAGGCAGGACTGAGAAAACACCCTCCTGAATCGCCGGCAAGCCACTCCTGCCAGTCTGTGTCAGCCGTACCAGGCTGGACTCAGTGTGGGGCAGACTCCCATGTTCTTATTTCAATCGGCCCTTACTCAGAGCCATGAGGACTAGAATCTTGCCCCATTTTTAGGGCAAAGGCTGCGACACAAAGGGCAGCCTTGCTTCTCTGCAGAGGCTCCGGGCTCAGTCTCCAGCTAAAGGGGTCAGGTGATGGGGAAAGACCCTTTTCTGCCTCAGATCTTGGGACGCCGTTGCTGCTGAACACTGGGCTGGCTAGACCAAGGGTCTGCTTCGATCTAAGCCAGCTTCCTAGGTCCTTGCTTTAAGCAGCCTCCGTTCTGAATCATGAGGACTGGAAACTCGGCTTTTAATTTCAAAGGGCAGGCTGTAGCTCAGCAGTAGAGCCTCTGCTTGGGACGGAAGGGGTTCACCCCTGGAATGAGAGAGCAGCTGCCGGTCAGAGGAAGCAGGACGGAGCGAGATGGGCCGAGGGCTCGGAGGTTGCTTCCTGCTTGGCCATCTGCAGAGATCCTGAAGGGGGGGGGGGTGGCGCTGAGGTCAGGTGTGTGCGGGAGGGTGTGCCGGGAACATTCGGAGAGCTTCCACCCTGTGCGGGCTTCCCCGCGCCTTCGGTTGCCAGGCAACCCCATGGAAAGAGGTAATCCATCTCTCGCTGCTCTGCTCGAACCTGCTCTGAATGGGGAATGGTGGCGTGTGTCTCGGGGTGGGACGCGTTTACCTCTTACAAGCTTCGTTCCACCCTTGTGGGTAGCCGCGTGTGCCTGCCGGTTTGCAGCAAAGAATTCGCGTCCGCCACCCTCCTCCCCCTGAGAGCCTCCGGGGGCCCTGCCCCACGGCTCACCCTATGGCGTGGGGCTTAGCTGATGGTGGCAGGAAGGCTGCATGGTTCCAGCTGCTTTTTGCTTTCTGCCCTTTGCTTTCTGCTTTCTGCTTTCCTTCCTTTCCTCCGAAGGAAAGGCAGTCTTCTCTCGGAGGAACAAAGCTCCCGTTTCGAGCAGAAGTAGGTTTGCCTAACCTGCCTTCCCCACAAAATGCACCATTTTCTGGACTGGAATTCCACCCCCTTACCTTGGAATAGGAGGAATGCCAGTGCTCTTCCTGTATCTCTCCTTCCCACCTCCACTTTTCACATCTTTCATCGGGATCAGTACTTGTTACAATAGCATAGTCCTTTGAGCTCCGTTTTCCCTACAATGTTTTATTCTAGTCTCACATTTTGTAATTTTGCATAGATCTGATTTGGCTTACAAACAAAAAGCATCTACTTATCTCCAGTGCTACTCCATTGTATGTCGATGTTGTAACTTTTGAGAGACAGTGTGGCCTGATGGTTAGAGTGCTTGCTCGGAGACCAGAGAGATCTGGGTTCTAGTCCCCACTCCGTCACAAAGCTCCCCACGCTCATGCTCAGCTTGGCCTACATTGCAGGGTTGTTGTTGTGAGGATAAAATCGCCGTGGAGGAGGATTAGGAAAGCCCCCTAAGGGTTCCTCACAAGAGGGAAAAGCCTGGGATACAAATGCAGTCAAATATAATCATGATGGTCTTTGTAAATCAGCCGACGAGACATTTGGCAGTTGAACATTATAGAAGCATGGCAGTTTCAGGAAATGGCAACTCCTCTGTTTCGTGTGTGTGCTTAGCGGCACGGGGGGAGACAAAGACAATGAGATTTTCGGGGAGGCTTTCCCCTTAACCTGGAAATGGAGTGTCCGGGGAACGGGTTATGCCGTTCTTCAGCTCTGATAAAATCCATCTTCCTTCGGTTCCGTTGCCCCCGCAAAAAGGGCACTTGATTTAATGGGAAATAGAAATGCCAGGCTATTCGATACCTTGCGATCCACAGTGACTCTGCCTCCTAGGATACTGCTCTCAACCCTCTTTGCTCCCACAGGACCCTTTTCCCTGGCAGCCTCTGGAACTGTCCTGTTCTTTTTTTTTTGTGGGGTGGGGGTCCTTCATTTTTTCTCTTTGTGGCCTTCTGCACGAAACCAAGTTCTCTTGGCAAAGCCACGCTACACATGGCACCTACTAAGCCTGGCTTCTTTGTGTTTGTGTCGGCTGCGCTTTCTTTTTCCACCTGCTTCCCCCACCCCCCACCGCTTTAATTCAAATTCCCAAGCCATTTCTCCTCCTCCTGTTGCTCGTCCCGATTTGGCATTTTGCGGAAATCAGGCAGTGTGGGAGAGCTTGTGCCGTGACACGGTCGGAGTGCCTGAATCCTGGGAAATCATCCTGAGAACACACTGAGAAGGAAGCTTTTGAGCAAGTCTGCTCCATCCCATAAAACCACACCCTTCCTCCCAACCTCCTGGCAAAGATTCTTGATAAATCAAACATTGAATTAAAAGAAGATTATTCCCCGGCAAAGCACCCAGTCCACATTGTTTAAGAGCAATGATTTCCCAAACGGAAGGTTCAGGCCAGATTGGAAGCTGCCATATCTGATCTGGGAGCTATTCGTAATTCCAGAAGTTGGGACTTCGCTATTATTAGAGGGAAATTACTTTGTACAGGGCACAGGTTGCAGGCTGAATCCTGCCAGCGAAACCCAGTTACAGAATTTAAATTAAGCTCTGCTCACCAGCAACCAGTTCTTTTTCACCTCAATCTCACCTCATCTCCTTTTTCCCGTCTGGTAGGACAAGTCCCATAAATCCATGCAGCCTTTGTACAACTGGGGTAATCAAATTTTTCGATCGAGGGAACTCTAGTTTCATTTTTTTAAATCACGTTCCTAGTCCTTATGATTGCAATGGTAAGCATGAAAACATATTAATGAACAATGCCACTCTCCTCCCAGAATTAGAACACTGTTCCAGGATAATGTACTATTTTTTTCCAGGGAAGCTGAGTTTCTTGCTCTATAGATCAAATTGTGCAAATTATTTATATATGGTAGAATTTCTCGGTGTTAGGTAGTTGCGCAGAAGGGTCCAAGAGTTAAGTAAAACCCCGATTGCCTTTTAAATGCAAACTGAGCTTCACAGGAAGATTCTGCATGGAAGCGGAAAGGAAAGCCAGTGTGGGGCTGCCCTGTCCTCATCTCCCTCCCCGATGTCTCTTTGCAGATGCAGAACGTCATGTACGACCTCATCACAGACCTGAACGACCGGAGCGAGGACCTGGAGAAGCAGATGGGAGGCCTGGAGTCCAAGCTGGAGCAGCTCTCCGCCAGCTTCAACTCGCTGCCCGTACTGATCACGGACGCTTTGCGCCAGCAGCAGCAGCAGCTCCTGGCCGCCGTGCTCGAGGCCCGGGGGGTGAGCATGGGCGTGGGTGCCCCCCCAGACGCCGCTCCTGGACAGTCCCCTGGGGGTCAGCTCCACCTCGTTCCCCACCCCCTACACCAGCTCCAGCAGTTGCTGAACTGCAGCGAGGGGTCTCCTGCCGCCCGCGGGTCTTTTTTTAACAATCTCTGTGTGGGGGCAGCTCGTTCCCAGTCCAGAAGGGGGCTGGAGGGACCCGAGCCGCTCGGGGTCGCCGGGGACCCAGAACAGTACGCTCTCGGCTTCGGTGCCTCGGAGCAGGGCTGGGAGGGCGGGAAGGAACAGGCAGTTTCGGCGGAGTCCCTCGCCGGCCGTGTTTGGTGGACTTCCGGAATCCACGTTCAATCTCAGGTCTTCAAATCGAACACAAGCCAACCCGAGGGTGCGGACGTGACGGAGCCGGGGCGCGGCAGGGCAGGGCAGGGCAGGGCAGGGGAAGGACCATTCCACTGTGTCGGACCCCACGGTGCTGGGGTTATCCATTTCCTTCGTGCTGCCCCCTTTCCAATATTCTTCCTCCTTCCCCTCTGTTTGTTCCCGGTCTTGCCAGCAGAAGTCAAAGAAGAAATGGGAGGAAGGAGGGGAACGGGCCTTGGCCCCCATCTCCTCCCTTTCTCCTGCATTCTTAGCCGGATCCCAGCAAGGGAATGCCGTTGCGCCTCCTTGTGTGTAAAGGTCTCTGTGGGAGCTGGGCAGGGGTCTGTCCTGGGTTGCTCTTGGGGGAAGCAGGTTTTACAAAGAAGGCAGCAGGCAGGTCTCACCTTTGCATAAGGTCTCAGAGCAAACTTGAAGCTGGTCCGGAGAACCAAGAAGCCGCCCCATCCCATCTGCCGCCAAAACTATTCTCCCCCAGAGGCCTTCGGTGTCGTGGGCGGAGAGCAGATGGGGGCTTGAGGCCGGCCAGGACGATGGTCACGGCTCCAGGTGAAGTGGAAGCTCCTGGTTGGAGTGATGCCTCCCTGCTGGATCACACCTGGACCTTCCCAAGGGGAATCCGAGGAAGCAGAGTTTCCTTTGGGTTTCATTTGGCTTTGCAAGGGGGTTCTCCCAGGCCTTCGCACCCACCAGCGGTTCTCTGAAATCGTATCCTTCATGTACCACAGTGCCAACCCGACTCCGCACTCGTCCCTTCTCTTGTCCAGCTCTCAGTTCCACATACGGCACTTTCCCAACACTCTGCTAAAATTCCAGATTGCTTTGCTACTCGGATTCTCCAGGGCTGATCCACTCTCTGAACTTACACCTGTCTTTAACCAACTCACTCTCTCTCTCTCTCTAAAATTTACTAGAGCTTTTCTTCCCACAAACCTTCCTGGGAATTATCGTTTGAGGGACAGGCTTGGGAGCTGGGTCACAGGTTTTCAGGCTGCCTAGCTTGAGAGCTCTGGCTATGAAAAGGCTTAACATTTGCAGCATAGACATGCCTCCAGGTTTTTTTCAATTTATTTCCAAACAATTCAGAGGCTCTCTCTTGCACGTGCTCGCTCTCTCACTCTCTCGCTCTCTCTCTGCCTTGTTTTAAATATTTTTCTTTTTCCACCACTGCAGCAGCAGGTTGTGGCACTGAGGTTTGGGTTGCTGCTACACAGAAGCAGGGTACAAGTGACCAGATTTCAAAGAATTGCACAGTTAGCCAAGGCCACCGCCATGATCCTTCGTCTGTTTTTATACAACCTGAGTGGTCACGGCTTCTTGCGTGAAATCCCTAGATTATTCCTTCCCCTCACAGCATCAGCCAGCTCTCTGAAGAATCGGCCAAGCCTTTTTGAGATCCTGCCCCTGCTGTTTTCAGCTAGCTTTTCATCCATATGGACTAGAACCATGCTTGTGGATTGTTGTTGTTCTTTCAAAAGAAAGCTCATGTTTTCTGGGAGCTCCATCTGTGAGCCATTTCTCCATGTGGTGGCATGGGATGGACACCACCCTTCTCTTGCAGGGAATATGATGGAGGTGTTGGAAAGAGTACACCAGGCTTGGGCAGCTTCCAGTCTGAAGGTCTGCCTTGAATGTTGTTTGCTTTTCATTTCGGTTTTTGCTCAGCCCCTGATACCTACCAGCCCAAGCCTGGGACACGTGCTTTGAATGCGAATGTCGGGGCCCAGAAATTTGTCTGAAGGACAGTTGGTGGATGGCGCATGCACAGGCCTCTCAGGCCAAAATTCAGTCCTGGTTTTCTCATTTCAGTAATGGAGAAACATTTTGTTCCCTTCTGTTGTTTACACCGTCGAGAGTCGGGCTGCAAAGCACACCACGGCCTCGCCGCTCTCGCCTTGGTAGACCTCATGGAGGGCCTCCCTGAGATAGAGCAGAGACTGCAGTCCGCGGACCAAACAGCCAGAAGAGGCAGGGTCCATATGCAAGTGTGGGGGGGAGGGGGCAGCGGGGGTGCCGCTGCTTCGTGCATGGAAGCCCCCAGAATCGGCTTCAAAGCCTGAGCTGCGGAAGATGAGGAACAACTTTCCTTAGCCTTAAGCTTAGGAGCATCATCGCCCATGATCAGAGGAAGCAGAGTTGGATAGACCAGGGAGGCCTGGGTTTTGCTAAAGGTATTCTGTCTGTCTGTTGCAGATTTTCAGCCATCTTTCATTCTGCCGTCCGCTCCTTGCTGGACTCGGATTCTTTCTACCAGAATTTCGAGAACTTGGCACTAAAGTGCATTAGTTCTAATGCGCACACACGCAGATGTGCTAATATACATTAATTTGGATTAGTACAAGTCTGTGTTAGTACAATCCCCTGCACACACGAGCAAAATGCCCACACACAGGTTGGACTCACAAAAATGGACATTCATTGGAGTCTCCCTCTGGCTGTTTTCAACAACTCCAGGATTCGTCAATGGCTCATCAGAGCACTCCTGTGAAAAGGCCTTCCCTTTCTGGACAGGTAGGACTGCAGCCCCCATCATCCCCAGACAACACAGCTGGAGTGATGGGAGCTGTCGTCCAGCACAACCCAGAGGGTGCTGGGCTGCCAAAAAGCTGGTATAGAATATGAGCTCCATGCCGGCACCCTCGCTTTGATGCAGCCTTAACGTCACACACCAAAGAATTCGTTTCCAGGCCTCCGGTTCTCCACTGCGAGGGGCTGAAGAGGAGGGCTGGAAAAATAACTCCGAGAACTCACCCCAGTTCATTGGAAAAATCTTTCCAAGGGCGTCTTGTTTCCTTTCTTTTCTTTTTCCCCTGCAAGACATGTAAAAAGTCTTGCCTTGTGACTCTGGGGAGAGATCCAGAGTAGTTAATCTGCAGCGTGGAGGCTTTGCTGATGGGCCAGGACCTTGCGCTGTGGCGTCTGCAGCCTTAAAGCTTATCTGGCCTTTGTTACCGTTGCGTTGCTCTCCGCTTCTGGAATACTGCCCGTTCTCAAGGCACAAAGGGGCCAGGCCCTGCCAGAAGGCAGGAGGCCAAGTTCCACTCCAGCTGGCCGGTTTGGGACGAATCCATGCATCCTGTCGGAGCAAAAAGGCTGTTCCTCTGGGAGGCCCCAGTCCCCGTTTTAAGCCTCATCCTCAGTGCCAACCCCACCTCCAGCTTTTGTCAGCCGAACGGCTGGCCGCCGTCCAGGGCTTTGCACTCAGCCGGGGAGGCCTTGGAGCTTTGCTTCCAAGCCCTGTGGGGACCATGCTGGCTCCTCTGGATGGAAGCTGAACAGGTGACATTTTATGTCTTTTTGAGCAGGCAAAGCAAGCGTGTAATTGCCCGGCGATATTAATTACGTGCTGCCTGCAGCGCAGGTTAATTGCAAGCAAAAAGCCGACGTGCCGCCCCAGGTACGTGGAACAGCCTGGCGGTGGGGGGTTCTTTCCCTTTTGCTTTTTGTCTAACTTCCCTTCAGAAGCGGTGTGCAGCTTTCCAAACGTTACAAAGGCAGATTAAACAGGATGGGGGGTGGGGAGCAGGGGAAGGAACCTGCTACGTTCCCACAATGGGTAGGAGGTGCGTTCCCTTTCGATTGATGTTGCTTAGGAAACGAGCAGCCCTTCGGGGAAGAGCGCCTTTGACGCCCACTGCTATTTCTTTTTGGCAGCGCTGGTGACATGGCGGTTTTATTTCCCCCCCTCCCCGCCCCCTGCCCAGGGCTGGTTCAGCACAAAACATTTAGGAATCTGCTCAGGGTGCAGCCCACCTTTAATCCCTCTCTGGGAATCGCATCAGCCAAGCGTAGCATCTGAGGGAATCCGTCATCCCTGTCATCTTGTTAAGATCGGCGGAGCATGCTTGGTCCTTGGGGCAGAAACATAGAAACAGGGCGAGTCAGAAGGGGCCTCCTGAGCTATCTAGTCTGACCCCCGGCTCCAGCCGGCTCCGCTCACGACATGCCCACCATGGCCTCAATCAGAAGAGCCAGCAGTGAGTAGCAAATTTTGGAGCTGTAGGCCAAAATGACGAGGAGGCCCTATCCGAAGTTAGTTGGTGCATGCTGGGAACCGAAGTCCCAACACAGCTGGAGGGTGCCACGTTTGAGCTGGCGGCTCTATCTGAAAGAGGTTTTGGGGTGGACCATTTAGGAGAAAATTCAGAATCTGGCCCAACAGCCATCCAAGGCCATTCCCGCTTCTAAACACTGACGCTGGTATACCCGAAGGCCAATAAAGCAACACTGTTGAATGTTTTGGTGGCAATCTTAATTCACAAAGAACAGAATCATCCATCATGAACCCTGGGGGGAGTTGTGGGTGTTTTGATATTAAAAAAAAACTCTCTACTCTTTCCCTGCTTTATGAATCCGGGAAATGTAGCTGCCTGCTCTTGATACAACAATGCCCAGTTACTCTTGCAATGGTGAACAGGGGGCGTTCAGCCGTCTTTCGGTGCCAGAATGCAGCTCTGGAGAGGCTTTCTCCCCACATGCCGAAGGACTCGTGTTTCGCGTGGCCCCGTCTTGGCCTCACAGCAGCCTTGTAAGGTAGCCCAGAATGTTTCGCACGGCCCCTGCTGCGGCTTCAAAGGGTGCAGCAAAGAGGTGTTTCTCCAAGACCACCTCGGCACTGCAGGAGGTGCTCTCCCGGTTCTTGGGCCAGGCTTAAGCACTGAGCCAGCCCCTTCCCCAAGCAGTTAAGCACAGCTTCCTGTCGGATTGCCTTTGAGACTTGCCCCACCGCGTGGGAAAGAGCACGAGTTCAGCCCGATGCGAGTTTCAGCACCTTGGACAGCAGTCAGGCCCTCTTTGGTCCGCTGGTCCTACGCTTCTACCTCACTGGCTGAGGAAGCGACTCTGTCCTTCCAGCCTTATCAATAAAGGGCCCCAAACATTTGATGTAGGCAAAGCCAGAGAGAATGCCCTGTTGCCTTCGTTATTTTCAAAGCAGCCCCGACCTGCCCACAGCCTGCTAATTTGATGGGGGAAATGCATCATCGTCCGGATGAGACTCTCACTATCTCAAGCAGGCTGTGGGCATAGCAAAGGGCACAGGCCCTCTGAGAGCAAATTTTGAGTAGGGGGAAGTTTTCGGACAGGTGGAAGAGCAGCTCAGGAAAGGGACTCGCTCCCGTCCGCCCTTCTCCCTCCACCTAGTTTGGAGCCCCACTCCTGATTGATTCTGGATTCTCCCACTTCGGATCTAGTTTGGCTCTTAGCCCAGAAAAGTTACTCCACTGCCAGTTTCCAAGTGGGGCTAAACAGTGATACTAAAAGGGGGAAGGACTGGGTCTTCACCTCCCTTTGGAGGGTTTGCTAGCTCCACTCACTCCCAGCCACCAGGCAAAGATCTGTCTCTCCGTTGACCTTGCTCTTGCCCCTGGAAACACCCCTGGGAGCCACCCGAAAGCCGCTATTGAGCTGGCAGGACTGAGGGTACCATGTAGGGGAAGGCATCCTTTGTACATCCGTGTCTGTGGGTTTCATTGCTTGCCACGAGCACAGCACGTTCCGCTGGAAAGGGGAGCGTGGACAAAACTGCACGGGCCTTGGAGAACCCCCCCCCCCCCCGGAAGGGTCACAAGATGCGTTCGGTTGAGTTGTATAGCGTGATTGCTCCGAGGGAATGAACGATACATTGAAGTATTCGAAGAGGTTGGTGTGTACCAGCTACAGTGCCAGATTGAACAGTGTTCTAGTGATGTCTGGGCTCGTTGGACAACGTTCTCCAGGTGTTCTTGCTAAATCGGAACGGCTATGAGGAACTCTTCTTGTCACCAAATACGCAAATCTGATGCCTTAACAGTTTTTTTGGGGGGACGCAATATGCATGTTGAGGAAGCGTATGTGGCACAGCAAGCTTGGCGACCCCTCGATTCGGCAGGAGGGGTTGGTTGACGCAGTGGGGCTCCTTAGCCTTTGCAGCTTTTATCCTGAGCTTGATGTCCTGACATTCGCCACCATGGACAGCTCAGGATAAATGCCACCATGGGTAGGGGGCCCCTCTCACGGGCGTGTTACCAGCGTCCCCTGAAAATCAAGCTTGCTTGAGGTCCCAAATGGTCCCCCCCCCCCCCCCCCCCCCCCGATCGCTCATGGTTCGGCAGTTTCCCGGCTTTGGCGTGGTTTTTCCTCATTCTGTGTCTTTCCTAAGCGACTGGAAGCAAAAGCTTTAAGCCGAAACCTTCTGCCCTGGTCTGCCTTCAGCCTTGTCTGCCACTGGAAAGTGGCTGCTGATGGTTCTCCAACGTGGAGCCCAGCCTTCGGACCAAGAGGGGCTCCACACACACGCGCGCGCATCTTCCTGAATGTAACCGTTCAGACTGTGCCACTCCAGGCGCAGGGGCGGCGGGGGGACGGAGAGGCTCAGGAAGGTCGCAGGAGGCTCCTGCCCCAAGGGGCACGTTCAGAGGAGCGGTGCAAGGTACCTTTCTCACGTTCCACCAGTGGCCCTTGGCTGCCTGCCCGTCTTGTCCTCTCGAGTGGTACAGCCCTGGCAGAGCTGTTCCCGGTGCTGGCCCCTCACACACACACACACACACACTCTTCAAAATGTGTGCTTTGTCTCCAAAGAGGAATCCTCATGCCAAGCAGCGTTGGTCTTACAGTCGCCCTGGAGCAAACCTTAAGCCATCTCCTGGCCTCAGGGTGACACACCCTGGACCCCGCGGGGTCTCCGAGCCTGAGGAAAACCATTCGGAAGCAGGCCCAGTGAAGGACGCTCCCTCTCCAGCGAGCGGCAGTGGTGGGCGAACAAGGAAAAGCACAAGAGGCTAAATTTCGAAAGGCGGGCCACCCCCCTCCACAGCCAGCGTCGCTTCCCCTCCCGCGGTTCGTGCTGCGCCACGGCCTGCCTCCACCCAGATCCCGACGGCTTTCCCATAGCGTCCCTCTACTAATAATCCCACTCAGCCGAGCGTGGCCAACCTGGAAGAGGCGGTGGAGGGGCAGAGGACGGCGACCTGGCCCACCACCTCCGACTACACCCCTCCAGCAGCTCTCCATGCCCTCCCCCCCCCAAATTCCTGTCCGTGCATCCCCCACCCAAGAGGGGTCAGCCACGCACCTTTCCTAGGGCGGCTGCCACCCCATGCCTGGCGCTCGGACGACTGCTCATTAAATGCAGAAGCTGCACTTAACAAGGGGGGGGGCGGGACTGTCTTGCTCGCTTTCTGTTTTCTTCTTTTTTTAAATTAATAATAAGATTACTAGGGGAAAACATAACCATAGTTTATTTTACCTATGAAATATATTGCTATATTATAAAGGATGATCATGTAACGTTCAAGTACTTCTTTTGTATCGAGCTGTTGAGGCAGGCCGTGGGACTCCCTCGCTTGCCCCTCATGATTGTTTCTGGGGTCGGAAGAAAAACCACCTGGGGAATCGGGACTGATCGCAAATGCACCCCCATCTTTTGTGGGCCAGCCAGCTGGATATTTGGCAATGCACCGAGGAAAGGGAGTTTGGGTTGCCCTGGGCGGAAGAGGTCGGAATTGAGAGGCCGGAATTCCTGGGATTCCTTTAGGGAAGGCTAAAGGACTCCCAGCTTGGATGACAGCACCCGAGAGCATGGCCCAGTGGCAAGGCTAATCCGGAGAGACTTTCTCTCCCTCTGACTTCAGACTAGAAGAACCCACTGAGGTCATTCCATGATGCCGGAATTCCCTACCATAAAATACAATGATAGCCACTAATCTGGACGGCTCTCAAAGGGGATTGGATGCATTCATTAAGGGGGAGGCCACTGATGGCTACTAGCCCAGATGGCGCTGTGCCACCTCCAGTAGCCGAGTGTCTGTATGCACCAGGGTCGAAGAGTGCTGTTGCTTGTGGCTGCTTGTGTGAACGATGGCAGACTCTGTGGACGCTGGGACTGAGTCCGGCAGGGCTTTAGGTTCGTGGCGTCTGAAAAATGAGTGCTTGAAATGGTCTAGTCCCAGCTTGTGACTTGGATTAAGTCCAAAGGGGTTTGGTCTCTCTGTGGCAGTTGGCACGGGACCTCAGGAAGAGGGGTTCAGAGCGGAAAGCTGCGGAAGGATCCCAGGAAGATGGGAAGGAGGCTGTTGTGGGTTTTGAAACGATTTTACATCTGGAGTTTGCTGCTGGGTGGCACCGTCCGTCAGCCTTGCAGCTTTAGATGAGAAGTGGACAAACCTGTAGAGGAGGAAGAGGCGTGCAGAGGGTGCTTGCGCCCGTGAACGCCTGGACTTGTCCCTTTCGGCTCTTGCTCCAGCCTAAGAGTGGGGAGAATCAAGGCAAAGGGTGCTGCTCCCAGCTCAGGCACGGAGCAAGTGGGGGCCATGAGGAGGAGGAGGAAAGTGGCTGACCGTGCGGGTGATGAAGCAAACCGAAAGTGAAGGCTGGAGACCCTCCAAAGCCTGCACCTGGCATCAGGTCCGTCAGTGGTGGTCAGTGAGCAGAGCTTCCCCATGCAAGGCCAGTCTACCTCCGGGGCATAACTGCCCAAGAGCAAACGGAGGGCAAAGCATTTCCCTTCTGTGCCCTGGAAAGCTGCTTCCTCTCTTTCTGTGCTTCATCCATGCCCCCCAGCCCATGTGTGCTCTCAAGTTCCTTTAGTCTGTGCGCAAGTCTCTGGGTGGTGTTGGACTACAGAGCCCACCGTGCCTGGCCATATTGGCTGGGGCTGATGGGAGTCATAGTCCAAGATCATTTGGAGATGGTAAGTTCCATGCTTTCTATGCTGCTACAGTCGAAGGGGCTGTTTCCCTTCTCCCCCTGTCCAGTTGGGAAAGCATTTTAAAAGGGAAGGCTTGTTCTCCTTTCTACACCCCCTTCTCTCTCTCTCTCTCTCTCTCTCTCTCTCTCTCACACACACACACACACACACACACACACACACACACCCCCACCCCCACACACCCACATCTCACCTTTATGTAGGTCTTTAAGACGCTACAGGGAGGCAACATAATTGACCCTTCCGTTTCCCAAGCTGGAGAGACCTCATTAAGAGCCGGCATTTCACCGAGCTTCGCCTTTTAGAAGTGCAAGGCCTTTCCCCGCCCCAGTGCCACCTTTGCCGTGGCAGCACCTGGCTTTCTGTTTTTAATAGGGCCTGGCTTTGGGGAAGCAGCAGCACATGGCTGAATGCCTGCTTCGCTGCAGAGTTCCTTTAGAGAGGAAAAACCCCGCCTGTTTGGCCAATTGCCGGCACTGGTGCCCACGGCAGAGCTGCCCCGCACCCAGACTGAAGAATGCCAAATGGATCTTGGTCTCGGAACTCCAACTTGACCCAGATTTCATTATTTTTGGAAGATTCAGAACTCGCACGCACGGTCCTGCTTGTGTCTCAGGAGAGCCGATGCCATCAGGGTCTGCTTGGA